CAATGTGATAGTGTTTATAGCACTGTCAGTGTGCTCACACACTTCATCATGACCCAATACAAAGCATTCAGAAAACAGAAACCATGTTCACAAATAGCAAGAAAGCACATAAATACCAAACTAATTCCAAAGCAAGATGAAGAGTGCTCACCCATCATTCCTCATTACTGAAATGATATATTTAGATTTTGTAGAGTTCTGAGTCTGAGCTCAAGAGAAGAATTAACTTAAATGTTTCTTTAATACCATTTAAATTTTGCCTTCACAAAGGTTTTTTTATGGATGTCTTGCTAGCCATCTGGTTTGCTAAAGAGCTATCATCACCAATAAATAGTGCAGTGTTTGCTTTTGAGACCTGCAATGAAAATTTTATTATTTGTTGGCATATTATTTCATTTACCGACAATTTGTTTATTTATAATTCTTTCCCTAGTTTGAGCACCTAGCATCATTTTCAATTAAACTAATTCACTTTGAAGTAGTTTTCTATTAGCATTTTCTAATTCTCAGGGATTTACTTCTAGACTAAACACAAAACCCTGTTTGATTAGCATTCATGTAGTAGATATAGTATTTCATTTTTGTCTAATAAGACAGAAGCCAGTTCAGTAAAATAATTTTAACCTGCCTTCTTCTAGGGTGAACCTGGAGAAGCTGGCAACCCTGGGCCTCCTGGAGAAGCTGGCACAGGTGTAAGTACCAGTTTTGCAAATGTGTTTGTAAGGAACCTGAGATATTTATATATTTTTAAGAGGATATCATGTCTCATTCCTTTATGTCAAGAGTCAGAATTGATGACGATGGGGTCAACTGGGCCCCCACAAACAACCACTTTCTTCCTCTGTTCCTTGAGTACTATTGGCCCCTGCCCCAGCCCTGCCATGCTGCTCACAAAAACAACCCCGTACATGAGACCTTATAAGGGGCAGTAGCAGGATTCCTAAGACCATATGTGTCCTTGGCTACATAAACCATCTGTGTGGCTCTCTCAGGAATTTTAGATGCTTCTATTCATTGCCTAGAAAAAATATGTCAAGAATAGGCTCTTGTTAATGTTAACGCTTTCAACCCCACAATTTTGTTGCTACTAAAATGCAAGGTGATTGGCTATTAGGTCCATATCGTAACAATGCCTGCTTTTCTGAGCTGGCATCTAGACATTCAGGAGCTTATTGCATTACCTTTTAACTCAAAATCAGCCTTCTGGGATGCAGCATGGAGGCAGGAAGTATCGCATTGTAATTGGCCATCTAATTGCTGGGTGACTGCAGCCTGGATTCCAGCTGCTCTCAGTGGCCCTTTTTCGAAAATGAAAAGCTCCCAAAGTTTAATGGTAGCCAGCTGAGTGCAGCTGGGACCAAGGCTGTAGTTGCCCAGCGATTCAGTGCTAAATTACAATGCGATAATTCCTGCCTCTATGCTGCATCCCAGCTGCATCCCAGAAGGCTGATTTCAAATTAAAAGGTAACGGGATAAGTTCCTAAGTCTTTCAAGTTATGAGGATTGCTCTTATATTATTGTACTATATATATGTTTCTTCAGCTCTTCATCCTACCCCAGTTCCTGGATTCTCATCAGATATCCACATGCCAGGCTCCTACCTGGTTCTCTAATCATTTTGATCTTCTTGCCTGTTTATTTGAAATGTGGTTGTTGACTCATGGATCTAGATTGTACAGTTATAGCTCTTTGGTACCACTTTAGCTATCCAGAGGCATCCTATGGAATCCTTGGATATGTAGCTTGGTGAGATATAGGAGCTATTTGACAGAGAATTAAATACCATAAAGAACTGGAAATCCCACAGTTCCATAGGCTAGAGCCAATGCAACTAAAGTGGTATCAAAGTACTATGATTGTATAAGGCAAACAAAACCCTGATTCTGAGTTACTTGATTGAGATTTCTTTCTGCTGTCACTTGGACATGCCCTGCAACCATTCGTTGTTCTTGACTGCAGCTCTGTGATGGAGTTCTAACAGCATTCCTTTTGCAAAATGTCTGCCTGTCATCATAATACTTGGATGCCAACATCAATGTTCTTTTGTGTAATTTAATTAAAAACAATTTCACATAGGTCATCAGCATTAATAATAATTTACTTTCTAATTCCATCCTCAACTTTATTGTAATCAGGGGAGGGAGGGATACTCCAAAATTAACAGTTTACTTTCTGATGTTGATGTAGCATTCTACAGATTGTTCTTTATTATTGGAATTTATTGCTCCAATAAAAGTTTTCCAATAAAAAATCTTAACTATTGTTTTTCATCAAAGCTTTCAAAAGGTGGTTCATTTTCTCACTCAAAATTCCTCATCCAAAGTTATGTCTGTCTTTTAAAGGGTCCAAAAGGAGAAAGGGGTGAAAAGGGTGAGGCTGGACCACCAGGTGCAGCTGGGCCCCCTGGTATTAAAGGACCTCCAGGTGATGACGGACCTAAGGGAAATCCAGTAAGTGAGTCTGCTAAGTAGTATGAAAGGTATTGGTGTATGATGTAATAGTCCCATAGTTCATTCTTCTCAAATTTTTAGAGTGTTACTTATTTCCACAGAATGTATCTTCACCAGGTCTTTCCTATTTGAAGTTGCCTACACCTGTCATTAGTGCCTTATTAGCTTTACCTTGTCTATTTGCTTAGGGCCCTGTTGGCTTTCCTGGAGACCCCGGTCCCCCTGGTGAACCTGGCCCAGCTGTAAGTATCTTTTAAAAATTTAAATTATGGATATATTTATTTTCATGCCCCCATAAAATTCCCATTTATTTTGTTGGATAAGGTCTACTGGGACAATGTCATCAAAACAGTTTTCTCAACAGCAAACCACACTTTCAGCAATATTGGTACCTTTGGCCACCTCCTTTTGACTTTCACCCTGATCACCACTGGAATGCAGCCCCCTGAGAAACTAAATTCAGCTTACTGCTGAAAGAGGGCTTTCACCTATGTTAAAGGCTAATAGCTCTCATTGCACAATATTATTAACAACTCTGTGAGATCAGTGACGCTGACAGAAAGGCTGGCCCAAGGTCCCCAGTGATTTTGGTGGGTGAGGGTGGGATATGGAGCAGATCCTAGTCCTAGAACCTAGTTCAGCCCTGTAACTACTTTACCACACTAGACTTTTGTACAAGTTGTACTGTGAGTATTATTGTTCTTTTCCCTTTTATTTGCTTTGCCTTCCCTAGGGGACTGATGGTACAGCAGGAGAGAAAGGTGAAGATGGTGACCCAGGCCAACCTGTAAGTAACATCTGTATGATTTTTCTCTGTAAAAAGCTTCCATATCTTCATTATAATTTATCATATGGGGAAAAATTGGAAGTTTAAAATGGTAAAAACCCGTTATTAACTCACAGTTGAGCAAATGGTTTTTACACACAAAGCGCTGTTATCCCATGCAGAATCAATCTGTACTTGCACACAAATGTGTGAATGACATTTACACAACGGGATCAAATGTGCGTCCATCCCGATAATGATTAAAGCGCATGCATCCTGCAAAAGTAAGCAAATGCGCAAACGATTTTCACACGTAGACC